GGCCCCTGTTGCCACGGACGGCGCCGTTGCTCCCATAAAAAAAAAATAAATAAATTCATGGTAAAACCTATAGAGAGTCACCTTGGAATCCCTCCCGAATAGATGACTAGCACTCGATGTCTTTTTTTCATCACTTGTGGAACGCGGCTGCTCTAGCCGCACGCAAACGTCGACGAAGAAATGTGCAATGAAGTCGAGCCATTACCGTGGGGCAGGGGAAATATTCGCCGCGATATCGATCCATCCCCTAACCTATTTCTATCGGATTAATAGTAGCGGATGCCAATGAACTCTGGTAGTTCTAGTTAATACCGTGGAGCAACAGCGACTCTATGACAATATAACAGTGTTTTGCGTATAATTTGTTCGCAGTGAGGTCGCCATTGGGAATGACCGTACTGGAACGTATTAATACACGAGAAAGATAAATATATTCTGCAATCAGAGAAAGCAGACGAAGTAAAAGCGTAGATAAGAAGGGATGAAAAGTACTCGAGAATTCCTTACTTTAACGAGGTCATCGAGTCGTTGTTGTCTCGGCGTCAGCTTAGGAAAGTCGAATATAGTTTACAGTGGCTGGAGAAATCGAGTCGCCCCAAGTGGACTAGGGATGGCAGTTTCCTGTTTAATTGGCATCTAATAGTAAATGTGACCTAGGGGGATGCTGATTCTCCCAGTGCTTCAAGTCATCTTCTCGAGGGAGTAGCAAACAGGCCGGTTAATTAGGTTGACGGGACTGGGATGATCTAGTGACGGTCCTTTGTCCTTATCCTGGGTAACCTTTTGTCCTCCTTCAAATTGTATCTCTGATAACACTTGACGTATACCACTAGTAATGTACGCATTGTATATGAAATTTATGTATTTTCTTTTGTATCCTTTACTCTGGTGTAAATTTAGTACCGAGCATTTAACCTGTGTTATTTTAACAGTTTTGAATACGGTTGCTAGTCGTCGCTGGACGTCTAGTCACGGTTGGCGGTTGACAGTCCGAAGCGTTAAGTACGGCGGACTCGCGAAAAACTTAAAAAAAAGACGGACATCACTTGTTAAAAAGCATTTTCACCCGAGATACCTATGCCTTAAGTTGTAGTATTTTTAGACACGTACCGAGTGTGCTGGCAGCCTGCCAACTGGGCTAAGGGATAGTTGACAACTGTTCAAACAGTCGTTTGTCTTTAATATCATACCGCCGCTGACAATGTGTGTCCGGAGTCACAGACAGACTGTCTATGAGAAAGGGGCGAGTGACGCGACCGCCTCGAGCTGAGATGCGCTGGGATTTTTCTTGCCCTTATCAAAGACATTCTCCCAATTTCTCGAAATACTGAGCATTCTGATGTATTTTTTGTTTCTTCTGACAATACTAACGAAAGAGTTACGATAGTCATTTATTTCCATGCAATTTACGAAACGGTTTTTGATGTAGGTGGTAGAGGTGAAAGATTGAATGAGAAAAAGAGCTCCTCAGAACTCCGGATTCGTTTTTCTCGCGAGATTCATTAATTTCTTTTTGTCATCCCCTTTATCCTCGGACAACCTTCGAAAGGTTCTCGATCTCGTCATCCCTTCGCTTCATGCAGCGCCCATACAAGGTATTTTTAATGTATGACAGAATCCATAAAAAAATATTTATCAAGACCTTGGGGGGCCTGTAGGTTATGCAGGGGAGAGGGGTAGTCGTAGAATTAAGTAAATTAACCGAATACAATGATCTTTATTTAAATATATAAATATACATGAAAATTTTTCACGTATGAACGTTCATGAGAATTTATCAGACTGTAATAACATCCAACCCCATTCCCGTCTTTGGTACACATTGGTCACTGGTACCGGCCACCCGAAATAATGATAGCAATTAATAGTCGCCACGTAAAACCGTTACACGCCAGTAAATAAACAGCCCGAAGTAGCGTAAACATCCTTACCCCATTAGCAGCAGCATCCCCTAAATGTACCCTGCGAATTCTTGACTCGCCCTCGTTCGTAATATTAAAATAAACGAAAAATTCCGTCACTGCTGACGTATAGGAATCGCGAAAGTTCCACCCCTGTCATTTTACCCAACAAAGTAACGGGGTCTCGCGAACTGAGTTACACGCGCCCTTAAACGAATGAAATTTCATTTTCTATTTCATTTTCATTCGAGTCCTCGTCGGGGTCATGGTTAAAAGGTGGCGAAATTCGTGACGGGCATTCTTTCCCAGGGA